CTGGGGGGTGGTCGTGCTGGGGGGGTGGTCGTGCTGGGGGGTGGTCGTGCTGGGGCGTGGTCGTGCTGGGGCGTGGTCGTGCTGGCGTGGTCGTGCTGGGGTGTGGTCGTGCTGTGGTGAGGTCGTGCTGGGGTGTGGTCGTGCTGGGGTGTGGTCTTGCTGGGGTAGGGTCGTGCTGGGGTCGGGTCGTGCTGGGGTGTGGTCGTGCTGGGGTTTGGTCGTGGTGGGGTGGGGTCGTGCTGGGGTGGGGTCGTGTGGGGTCTGTCGTGCTTGGGTGTGGGCGTGCTGGGGTATGTCGTTGCTATAGGGAATGGTGGTCGTGAATGTTTCGGCTCGAGGACATACCTTGCCAAAAATTTTCCAGGAAATCGTTACAATAAAACAAAGGAATTAATGAGAACATCCTCGAAATTAATTCGCGCGGGGCGCTTTTCCGCGTCGCGGTCGGCTCTGCAAAACAAGCGTTACGCTCGAGACATCCTCGGCAAACTCTGCGGAGCAAGCGTTTCGCTCGAGACATCCTCAACACACGAAAAAGTGGCCCGCACCCTGTGATTTATCGATCGGGATTTCAAAAACAAGCGTTTCGCTCGAGACTTCCTCAAATTTTAATTCGCCGGCATCCTTCGACCTCGTTATTTATCAGGGAAAAAATTCGCCGGCCTCCCTCAAGTTGGCACCGGGGGACAGGTTTACCTACTAAAAGAGAACCCTGGGCCCACGCCCTTTCCGGGACATGATCGATCCACGAACCCGGAAAGGAATATAGAACTGTCACACATGGCAGCGTGTTCAAAGACACCTGATTGGGTGACGGGCAAATGCAATGCTGAGTGTATCGATCTTGATGTACCCTGCCGAGGGCTGTGCTGAGCTGCGCCGTGCTGAATTGCGATGTGCCATGGCGCGACTGTGCTCTATAGCCTCGTGGATCGAGTCCTCCTTTGCATCCGAGTCCTGACCGAACTGATCTGGATCTTAAGCTCGAGCTGCCTGAACACATAGTAGCTGCCCCAGAGATAATGGACAGGGGAACATGCCAGGAGGACGCGCCGCGAAACGTCCCAAGGGATGCGCCAGGCGACGTGCCAGGGGACGTGCCATGGGGTCGCACCGCGGGACGTGCCAAAGGGACGCGCTACGGAACGTGCCAATGGATGTGCCACGGAATGTGCCAGGGGGCGCGCCACGCGACGTGCCAAGGGGACTCGCCAAAGGACTGGCGAAATGAGGAACGAATGCCAAGGAACGAAGCCCCTTGCAATGCTGAGTGATATCGATCTTGACTAGTACCTGCGAGGGCTGTGCTGGCTGCACTACTGTCTGATTTGCGACTGGGCAATGCCGCGGTTGTGCCTCTATTAGCGTCGTGGAATCAGTCCTCCTTTTGCTATCCGAGTCCTAGACCGAACTGATCATGGATTCTTACCGCGGAGCTGCCTGAACTACATAGTAGCATGCCCCAGAGCTAATTGACAAAGGGACAATATGCCAGGAAGGACGCGCTGCGAAACGTCCCAAGGGATGCGCCAGGCGATTCGTGCCAGGGACGCGCCATGGGGGTCGCACCGCGGGGAGTGCAAGGGGAAGGCGTGCTGACGTGCTGGGGACAAGCGTTTCGCTGCGAGACATCCTACAAATCATCAGAATTCCTAACGCGCGCGGACGCGGCACGCGAACAATCCTCGCGAATTTTTTTTTTCGGACACGAAAACCAACATTTCGCCTGAGACATCCTCTGAATTCTGGCCCCCCACGAGGCCCCCGCTCGAGACATCCCCCAATTTTGCAAAACCAGCGTTTCGCTCGAGACATCCTCAACAAATTATGAAAAACAAGCGTTTCGCTCGAGAAATCCTGTCAAAACCCCAAGAAATCAAAATTCCTGCGCGCGGGACGCGGCACGCGCGAGACATCCTCGGAATTCCTGCGCGAGCGCTTTTCCGTGTCGCGGTCGGCTCTGCAAAACCAGCGTTTCGCTCGAGACATCCTCAACAAATTCTGAAACCAAGCGTTTCGCTCGAGACATCCCCAACTCTGCAAAACCAGCGTTTCGCTCGAGACATCCTCAACAAATTCTGAATCACACTACACCCGCGCTCCCAGGGCCACGATCCCTCGTAAATTACGCTACGACAGCGCTCCCAGGGCCACGATCCCTCGTAAGGGCTCCTGGGCCCTCCTGAGTCTTCCTTGGACCTGTTGGGCCCTCCTGGTCTCTCCTGCAGCCTCCTGGAGCTTCTCCTGGGCCCTCCTTGGGCCCCCTGGTGCCTCTTGGAGCCTCCTGGGTCCTCCTGGGCCCTCCTGGGCTCTCCTGGGCCCTCCTGGGCTCTCCTGGGCTCTCCTGGGCTCTCCTGGAGCCTCCTGGGCCCTCCTGGGCGAAGTCAAGGTCCGAAAACACATGGGACTTGCCACATTTCTGAAATTCGGTGCCACCCCTCACGCAGGTCGGCGGGGTCAGGATCTGAAAACATAGGGGATTTGCCACATTTCTGAAATTCCGTGCCACCCCTCACGCAGATCGCCGGGGTCAGGGTCCAAAAACACAAGGGATTTGCAACATTTCTCGAATTCCGCGCCACCCCTCACGCAGATCGGCGGGGTCAGGGTCCAAAAACACAAGGGATTTGCCACATTTCTGAAATTCCGCGCCACCCCTCACGCAGATCGGCGGGGTCAGGGTCCAAAAACATAGGGGATTTGACACATTTCTGGTATTCCGTGCCACACCTCACGCAGATCGGCGGGGTCAGGGTTAAAAAACACTAGGGATTTCTGCTATTTCCGAACTTATGCAACTTCAAGAATCCAAAACTCCGTTCCCACCGCCGTTCCGGAGGCCGCGGTACCTCGTTATTTATCGAGCGAACGCGTTTACCTTGTTTTTTATCGTTTAAAGTCGATGTCGGAAAAAAGTGGACTTCACCTGTGAAATATCGAGGTTTCCTTAAAGGCAGTAAAATTCCAAGAGCACGATCTGCGTGAGGGGTGGCGAAAAATGGCCTTCGTCCTCACAATTGAAATCCGCTGGCCCCCTTCAACTTCGTAATTTATCGCGCAAGAATTCCGCCGGCCCCCTTCAAGTAAAAACCGGGGGGTAAACCTACTAAAAGAGAACCCTGGGCCTAAGCCCTTTCCGGGAAAATTTAAAACATGCTCAGAAATACTTTAGATTTCTCCAAACCAAAATCGTCCCCAGATGATTCTCTTACTATTTTTGAACATTCCTCCTGTAGAGGGACATGCCCGACTTAAACGTTGTCGTCGTCGTCGTCGTCGTCCTCGTGGCCGGGAGGGGCGCTCCGCGAGGGCGCCAGCCGTCCACACGTCGTCGTCGTCGTCGTCGTCGTCGTCGTCGTCGTCGTCGTCGTCGTCGTCGTCGTCGTCGTCGTCGTCGTCGTCGTCGCCCCAGCGGGGCGCTGCTGCCACGCCTCCCGCCGCCCACGGCCACGCGGGCGCCCAGGAAGACAGCCCCGCCGTCGCTGGCGCCTGCCGCACGGCGACGACGACGACGACGACGACGGCGACGACGACGACTACGAGGACGACGACGACGACGTCGACGACGACGACGACGACGACGACGACGACGACCCTGAGGTCAGGGCCTTGCAATTTTTCCACACTGGGCGTCTTCGCCCGGTTTCGGGCGCCGGATCCATCACAGGTCGGCCCAGCCCGAAAAACACCATAGAAAGACGTGGTCTGGGAATCTGGTCGTGATTTCGAATCGCGAAGCTGCATCTTTTCGCAGCGTCGGATCTCAAGGGACGAAACGACGATCGATGGTCCTCAGAACGTGCGTTAGCGCCAAAGTGCGCTTGTCCAGCAAAGCCCTTCCATACGTCGCAAGCGGCGTGACGAGGGCCGACACAATCTGCATGCTACCAGGGACAGGGGCAAACCGGGAAAAACACACCGATTCGTGCCCCTGGAGAGGGCCAATCTATAGGAACATACGTAATCCCGGAGAACACAAATCTATCAGAATATATGTAAAAACGCACGGAGTCGTGCCCCTGAAGATGGCCAATCTATAGGTATTGAGAGGCCCATTGATAAGAATATACGTTAAAAACACGGGTTCGTGCCCCTGGAGAGGGCCAATCTATGGGAACACACGTAACCCTGGAGAGGGCCAATCTATGGGAACATACGTAAAAACACATGTAATCGTGCCCCTGGAGAGGGCCAATCTATAGGCAATGAGAGGGCCCATCTATAGGAACATACGTAAAACACACACACACACACAGATGCGTGCCACTGGATGGGGCCAATATATAGGAACATACGTAAACCGTGCCCCTGACCAAAATGTTTCGCGCACCCTGTGATTTATCGATCGCGATTTCAAAAGCAAGCGTTTCGCTAGGGACATCCTCAAAAATAATTCCGCCGGCCCACCTCGACCTCGATATTTATGAAGGAATAATTCCGCCGGCCCACCTCAAGTCAGGTCCAGGGGTAAACCTCTAAAAGAGAACCCTTGGCCTAAGCCCTTTCCGGGAAAAACAACTCCGGATGAGAAACTGGTCCCGGGGAATCGGTCGGGACTTCCGCGGACCGCGTACTGACAAATCGGGACGTCGCGCGTCTGGGCGTGGAGACCGCATGCATCCGCGACATCCCCAAAGGTCCGAGGCTCCGACAAACATTGGTGCGGCTGGTGTTTGGCCACTATGGGCCTCCAGGGGCCATCGCCAGGCCCTCGCCGGGCTCTGCATGATGGCCACTACCGCAACGGATACTGGCCAAATGGCACTGGCCCATTCCGTACCGTGCCAACCGGCCGCGACCACCGTACAAGATAATGCCGTACCATGCCGTACCATGCCGCGACCACCGTGCCAAACAACAACGTACCAGCCGCGACCAGTACCGGGCAATACCGCACCGGCGGCATCTGTCGTACCCGACGATACCGTACTGTGCCGCACGCAGCATCGACCTCATCTCAATCGCTGTCGCGCTCGTCGTCATCACCATCGCCGGCAATCGCTACCGGCGCAGCTGGCACCAGCGGTACTGGCCGCACTGCGATAAAACGCGTGCTCGTGATACCGGACCGCACCGTGGCCACCATGCGTCCGAAGCGGCGAGGCCTTGGACGACGCGGCGGCGGCAGCGGCTGGGCGCTGGGGGGCGACAGGCGCCGCGCGGCTGCGCAGGGCCGCGGCCAACTCGCGGCGCGACAGGCCGTCGATAGCGGCCTCGAGGACCTGGCTCGAAAGGGGGGGTCCTCCTCGTCCTCCTCCTCCTCCTCCTCCTCCACCTCCTCCTCCTCCTCCTCCTCCTCCTCCTCCTCCTCCTCCTCCTGCTCCTGCTCCTGCTCATCCTCCTCCTCCTCCTGCTCCTTCTCCCCCCCCACACCAGGCGGAGCGCGAGACCGTCCACGAACTTGGTGATTTCCAGCTTGGCGCCTGCCCAAGGCACAATGAGATCCAGGATGAGGTATAGCACCACCTTCAGAAAACGATCGGCGTACTTGGACCCTGCTGGCAGGCCCATGTAGGTGGTGCCGGCATCGGCCAATGCCTGGCCCTTGCGCACCATCCTCGGGAAAGCGTAGGACTCCAGCGACAGGGCTAGCACGCTCAAGGGCACATGTTGCATCAGGCCACGGCTCCATATCAAGTTCAACGAAATATACTCATATGCCTTCTCCAAATCCATCAGAGACAGAATGGAATGAAAGGTCGTACCTTCAAGAGCTTCCTCGTCCAACATCGTCCCCCACACAGCGTGCTCAACCTGCTCCTGTCAGGCGCCGCCCAGTCGCACGGCCGAAGATGAGTCTTCTCCCAAGATCGGATGAGGGGGTCCCTGGTCACCTCCCAGACACGAATTGGTGTAGGAAACAGCGTTATGGGCCTCCCTCCTCCGTCTTCTTTGGCAGCCAAGACAAGAATAAGTGTCCGAATCGCCTGCGGCAAAGTGTAAAGCCTCTCGCACAACATCCGCACAATTGCCAGACAACCCAAACAGTAATTGCTGAGCCACACCAAATGACCAAAATGCCAGCCGTCTAACCCAAGCCCACCTCGCCATTTGTAGCTGCGACAGATTGCCCGTATCTGCTGCGCGTCAAGTGAAGGGAGCTGCAAGGCATTTCCGCGGCGTTCAGCCTGTACACATCGAGCCTGCCAAATCTCATCATACGCGCCATCTCCTGCCCTCCAGATCGAAGCCCAGTCCTCCGCCTCCGTGTCGACAGCCTGCTGAGGGTCCGCTGCCAAGTTCACCTTGCGGACAGAAGAGATCGGCTCCTTCCAGGCTTGCTTTCAATGGCAAATTTTACGCAGGCAACCGCCCGATCCAAGAAACTTGTCGCTCAGGCGCTCGTAGCAGCGCGCCGCTCTCTGCCGCGCGAGGGTCTGCTCCAGGGACTGCGCGCGCCGCTTGGCAAACTGCTGAATGTGGAACATCAGCCCGGCGGCGCGGACCGCGGGCGCGCAGGGCGACACTTCCCGCAGCACAGGGGCCACGAAGACGCCCCAGGGCCCCATCTGGCCCAAGGCGCCGCGCCAGCCGCAGCTCGCGCCAGGGCCGCCTCAGCTGGTGCGAGACATTATCAATGTAGTCGCGTTGAAGCTCGTCTCCCAAGGCGACGGTGGCAGCGGCCCCTGGGGGCCGATCCCCGGGCGCGGGCGCGCCCCTCAGGACGCAGCAGACCAGCTGGCCAACCCAGGCCACCGCACTCGCGGGCCACCGCCAGGCCCTAGCAAGCCCTCGGTCCGCGACGGGGCCCCCCTGCCCGGGAAGCAGCTGCCCATCCAACACATGTGGAGTCAGACCCCGACCTTCGCACCACCGTGCCTCGGCCTGGGTTCAGCCGAACAGCGCGCGCACCTCCGCCTCGGCAGCAATGCAGAAGCGCAGCCAGCCCTCGTCCAGCTGCTTCTGCGCGCCCTGCTCGACGTCGACCCCGGGGCACTCCACGGGCACGGTCGGCGGGGCAACTAGCGGCGGGCGCTCGATCGGGCACTGCTCGGGCCCCTCGATCACCTGCGCCCTGCAGGCGCGCCACGGCCTAGCTGCTCGGACCCACGCGGGCCCGCGCGGCCTGCAGGGCACGTGCTCGAAGGACTGCGCATCCCCGAAGATTGAGGCAAGGCGCCCTTCCAACCAGAAAAAGTTGATCACCCGATCCACGAACGACTCTACGCCCTGCACGACGGTCTTGGAGCGGCATGCGCCCCCGACCCCTTGCCATGCCAGCACGCGCCCATGGACATCGTGATTCCACGGGCTGCGAAGGACACTGCGGGGCTCGTTATTGGCATCTCCCATGGCGGTCCATGGGATGCGTATCTGAGTGATCCAGTGAGCCACCGCGTCAAAGATGGCGGCGTTCGGGCGCCACGCGACAGGCCTGCCCATGAAAAGATACAACGAGAATAGCGACCCAGCCGATGCCCTTCACTTCTGCGAGGCCCAGGCAGAGTCGACCTGGGGCTCCAGATGGCGAAATGCCCTCTCCATCTGGCCAGGCGCCATGTTCAGCGCGAGACAAGCAGGCGTAATCAGGGCGACGCCAACAGAGTGGCCGCCCTCCTCCGCGCGGGCGGTAGGGGCTCCGACCACTCGCCACGCGCGGCCCTGCATGGCCACGGCCGAGACTTGCAGCCACTCCGCAAGTTTGCCATGCTCCTGCACTGCAACGACAGGCACGCCCCCCTGCGTGACCAGGGCGGCGATCTCCTCCTCAAGGAACTCCTCCAAGCGCGCCCAGGACAGGTTGGAGTTGAAGGAGGGGGCGAGAATGCGTCGAGCCCCATCTGGGCTGCCGGCGCCCTCGGCGCCCGTCGCCGTGGCCTGCGGCGGGGGAACTAAACCCCCTGCGGCGGCCTCGGCAATGCTGCACCCCCGTGCATCTCGTAGAAGGAACCCCGCACGACCCTCTTGGCCGCCCGCTCCTCCTCTGGGAGGTCGGCCACGACCTGCTCGATGAGCTCGTCGCGCTTGCGCTTGGCATCCTCCACGTCCACGGGCACGGGAACATGCTCACTACCTCATTCACCAGCGGCGGCAGTCGCGGCAGAAGGTGCCGCAGGCGCGGCGGGGGGCGGTGCCGCGGCAGCCTCTGCGCCCACTTGGGGAGCCCCCTTGACCAGCTCGAGCAAGTTTCGGAGCGCCTGGGCCACACCCTCGGGCAGCCGAGCGCTACCCATGCTGGCGTCGCCTGCTGAGTCGGCGCCGCCGACCAAGACCTCCAGGCCGCTGACCAGCGGCTGCACCACCGCGGGGCCGCAGCGGGGCCCGCCGCCTGCAGCACGCGCAGCTCCAGCAGGCTGCGTCGGCTGCTGCTACTGCTGCGCCAGGCGCTGGGCGAGGGCGGCCTTCTTCTGCTGCAGCGCCTCCAGCTCCTGCGCCCAGAGCCGCTCCTGCTCCTGCGCCGGGTCCAGGCGCCGCTCGAGGTCGGGCACCACCTCCTCGCGTTGCCGCCCCAGCTTCTTGTCCACCGCCGCCATTTTTCCTTCCAGCTGCTGCAGCTGTTGGTAGAAGGGGCTTGCCAGCTCTGCGCTCCGCCAGCAGGTCGGCTCTGGCCTCGCGCTCTCGCTCCAGCACGTCAGCCAGTCTGGAGTCTCCAAGCGCTTCCAGGGCTGCGATGGACCTGTCCAGAGCGGCGATGGGGTCCGCGCCCTCGGGGCTACCTGCTGTTGCTGCTGCGGTTTGGCCTTGAGCGCGTCCACGCCAGAGCCGAAGTAACCCCAAGCACCACCAGCAGGCTCACGAGGAGCAGCAGCAGTGCCCTTGCCCTTGGAGCCCTTGCCGACTGGCTGCCATGGGACACGGGCCGGAAGCGGCTCCTCCCTGGCAGCGCGCGCGATGGCCTGCTGGATGGCTCGCGGCGCCGGCGCCAGGCATGCGCGGCACTGCATCTTCGTGGCGTAGTTGCCGCCGAAGCCGCAGTGCCCACAGGTCCATGGCGTGGCTCCCTGCAGGGCCGAAAGAGGGCACAGGCGAGAAGCATGGTGCCAAGGTGCCACTAAGCGAGCCCAAGATGGCAGTGGACACGAGGACAGATGGTACGTACAAAAGAAAATCCCTGGCTGGTGCCACCAGGGTGCGACTGCGGGGGCCGTTCCTCCCCGCCGCCACGAAGGTCAAGTACTGAAGCGATGGCTACGGACTTGAGCCAAAATGGATACAGTCCTCCTCCTCCTCCTCCACCTCCTCCTCCGCCTCCGCCTCCACCTCCACCTCCGCCCCCGCCTCCGCCGCCTCCTATTCCTCATGTTACTACGATTCGGTTAAATATTGTTCTTCACACGTTTAGTATTCTTCTCTTCTTAGTTTGAGCAGTATTATTAGTGTTACTGTGACCATTCGCATTACCATTCGTATTGTTCATACAACTGTTAGTACTACTGGTATGGCTAGTGGTAATATTATTAATGTTCGTCTTGTTCGTCTTGCTAGTCTTGGTAGTAGCAGTATTACTAGAGATCGCAATATTATTCGTATTCTTCTGATTGATATGATGATTACGATGAGTCATAGTTTTATGAGTTGCATTATCATTAGTAGTAGTAATAGCATGTTCATTATTAGTCGTACGATTGGTCTTTATAATAGTATTATCATTATGTTATCATTATTATTAGTAGTATGCGTGTCCTTATTAGTGTTCGGCACCGTATTATTAGTCGTCGCATTATTATTGTCATTCGTATTCTTTTTATGAGTACTACTTCTCTTCTCAATCCTATGATTAATTATAATGTTAGTATTATTATTGTTCTCAGTAGTCTTAATATTCGTCTCATTCGGCCTCTTAGTATTCCTTATCAGTTTACTATCATTATTATGAAATTAATAGTGTTCCTCGTCTTCCTCTTCCTTCTCCTCTTCCTCCTCCTCCCTCCAACTAAATCATAATCAATAAACTTTATTATTCCTAAAACATAAACATCAATATAATATATCCTATTCTACAAGAATCATAAATCCTTCCTCACGTACTCTAAACTCCTCCTCCTACTCCTAAGTGTCCGAACAACTTGCAAATCATTTATACTAATCCTAATACTATCATACATCAATTCCCTAAATCACTCTACATACAATACCCTACCTACCTAATAATAATCTAATATGAGTAGGCCAGCCGCGTCAGCGAAACGAAAAGCATCCAAGCAATCCTCTCCCGAGTCCCCCCCCCTCCTCCTCACCGACCCCGTCTACTTCCTTCCTCCTCCTTTCCCCTCCTATCTTC